ACATTAAATCAATAAAAAAAAACATACACACACTACCGTGTATTTGACACAGCCACGCATTCATGCTTTTTGCTTATTGTCAAACTTTTCTCATTGCAGTCTAAGTACTACACCGAGTCGGCCAGAGCTTATCTTGCCGGATTTATTCACAAAGCTGTCTCAATTGACGTATTAACATCAGCGATTCCAACAACAAAAAAACATCTCTAAGCTCTCGACAGATCACATGCGAACACCCCCCTGTTAAAAATTCAAAATTAAATTTCTCAATGATCGAACTTGGATTCCCGTTTCGCAACGCCACAACTATTTCAATAAACCCCTCAGCTCTCGGGGGCGCGACCCCTTTGCTGGCTGAATTCCTCGTTGCTTATAAGCGTCACCGATTATGAACACTTGCCTTTTTATTGCTGGTAGGCAGCGGCTCGGCTCTGCCCCTGGCATTGCTGAAGTCCATGGGCGACGGTAACCACTCACCATCAGGTGGGCCGTATGCTCGTCTGCCTACAAGGGCAATAAAAAAAAAAAAAAAAATTTATCTCAAGAATTGTTCGAGATGATACCGGCATCTCGTTTTCACCATCGCACCGCCCGCCACCGGAGTAGAGTTCATCCATACTACCTGGAGCCACTGCGCTCACCCACAGTGCGTTTCCAGAGGTCTTTTTTGCCACGTACCATCCGGCTATGGAATGAGCTCCCCTCCACGGTGTTTCCCGAGCGCTATGACATGTCCTTCTTCAAACGAGGCCTGTGGAGAGTATTAAGCGGTAGGCAGCGTCTTGGCTCTGCCCCTGGCATTGCTGAAGTTCATGGGCGACAGTAACCACTCACCATCAGGTGGGCCGTACGCTCGTCAGCCTACAAAGGCAATAAAAAAATAAACTTCTCAGTGGGTCGCGTTTCCGATCCGGTATTAGATTCAGCGAAGCCCTGCTCTTACTAGGGCTAGGGTTAGTAAGTTTTTACTGGTGGTAGGACGTCTTGTGAGTCCGGACGAGTAGGTACCACCGCCCTGCTTACTTTTGCCGTGAAGCAGTAACGCGTTTCGGTTTGAAATGCGGGGCAGCCGTTGTAACTATACTGAGACCTTAGAACTTATATCTCAAGGTAAGTGGCGGCATTTACGTTGTAGATGTCTATGGGCTACAGTAACCACTTAACATCGGGTGGGTCATGAGCTCGTCCACTTATCTAAGCAATAAGAAACAAATAAATAAAAACTGTACAAAAATTATGAAAATAGAAATTGGTTACAATTATGTCTGCGACTTTTCAAGGCCGCAGATAAGTACCACATTGGATGTAACGCATTCCTTAAATGAGTTTTGAAAAGTTGGCTGTGCCCCCATTATTTCTGCCTGACAGTAACCACTTACCGTCAGCTTAATTTAAGCAATAACATCGTCTGGTCCCGCGTCTACCCAACAAACGCGTCCTGAATTTTTAGCATACATTCTCTGGGGTCTGATCGAAAATAAAAGTCATATATTGTAATATTTTTATGTTTTCATTTATTTTGTTTCACTAAAAATCGCTAGTTTAGACTCAAAGATCGATGACAAACATAAAAAGGTAGGACATCAATATTATCGAGTTATTTTTGGTCTGTATTATGAAGGTTTTTGTTTAGCATCTACCACCCGGAATTATCAGGTGAAGGTGCGCTCAATTCAATGCGGATCGCGATTTCCATCCGATGGTAGATATAACAAAGCCACTGCTCTTGCTAGGGCTAGTGTTAGCAAGCTCTCTCAGGTTGAGCCCCGTGAGCTCACCAACCGTAGCGTATCTAGAATAACCCCATAACCTACCATTAATTAGGCAAGGAAAAAATATGCGTTCAAAATATGTCAAATTACTTAAACCTCATATCGTCTTCTCGCATTAAAACTGTATAATCTCAAAACTTACTAATTCTACAGGAGAGTGTTTTAAAGGTGATATTTTTACATTAATCATCTTTTGCAACACATTTATTTTTTATTTTTTTGCCAGTTACATTATCTGTCTTTTAAGGTAAGATAAAATTATGTATTCATTTTGTTAATAGTAGTCAAAACATAGGTAAAGTAAGAAAAAGAAAAAAAACTAAAACTAAACTACGGTCTTTTGACAGTATTTATGAGAAAAATACTGGTGATACCAAATGATTCGGCATATTAACTCAGTTTAGAATATTTTTGGAAATTGTACGCTTTTAATGCGAAAAGACGATATTTAGGAAAGTATTGGCAGGCATATTTAAAAAAAAAAAATTTGAGTACAAACTTTATTATTTTGTCATCAATCTTTATCTAAGATACGTTCGCATTGGACTGTCAGAACTGTGGTATAAATCTATAAACATTTCAATATCTTTGCGATGAAAGAAGCTATAATACATCTTATTTTTTCCTGAAAAAAATCTCTTGTGCAGGCTAATATTTGTTTAAAAATATTTGACTTGTAACTGTAAATAGACATGCTTTAACAAAAGCCGACTTCTAATAGAAAAAAATATATTCCAAAACAAATTAATATGCACTAAAAACAATAATCATCGAAATAGGTTGACGTGATATTGAGTTATTGAGTTATTCATCTATTTGTCGCGCACGTACTTAATGCAAATTTAAGACTTATATGGTTTTCTCGTGGATACCATCATCAGAACTGGACCAAATTGAAATGAGACCACACGGGAAGCGTCAGCCTTCGAATAAAAAAAGAATCCTCAAAATCGATTCACCCAGTCAAAAGTTATGAGGTAACAAACATATAAAAAAAAAAAACATACAGTCGAATTGAGAACCTCCTCCTTTTTTGAAGTCGGTTAAAAACAATGATATATTTTTGTATTTGAAAAAATGTATTTGTAGCTATGGTCGACTTTCCGCTTGTTCCTAAACTAAATTAAAGGTTTATTATAAGGTGGATTATACTTCTTTATATTTGGATTATACTCTTTCAATGAGGTCTTTTCATTGAGGTGAATTGTAAAATTGCATATGGCGTTGTAAAAAAAAACGTTTAAAGATAATTTTTAGCCTTTTTAAGCCTTTTAACCGACTTAAAAAAAGGAGGAGGTTCTCAATTCAACTGTATATTTTTTTTATGTTTGTTACCTCATATCTTTTGATTGGGTGAACCGATTTTGATGATTCTTTTTTTATTAGAAAGCTGACGCTTCCCGTGTGGTCCTAATTTAGTCCAGCTCTGATAATGGTATCCATGAGAAAACCATATAAGTCTTAAATTTGCATTAAGTACGTGCGCGACAAATAGATGAATAACTCAATAACTCAATATCACGCCAACCGATATCGATGATTATTGTTTTTAGTGTATATTAATTTGTTTTGGAATATCTTTTTTTTTTCTATTTTAAGTCGGTTTTTGTTAAAGCATGTCCATTTACAATTATTTTCATTAGAGACGTTAGAAAGGGATGCATTATTTGCGCACTTTTGACGTCATATATTTCTAAATAGATTTCAATTCGGTTGTCATAGGTAAACAGTTAAAGACCACATTCCCAACGATCCAATGTAAGCGTTGACTAATACTGCTAAATTGCACAATAAATAACTTAATAATTAATAAACTTAATTAGTTATAGTATTATTTACATTAATTTTTAGTTTTTTTTTTAATACACAAAATGATACAACAGAAACTGTGGGTAGGTTTTTTTGAAGTGAAACTTCTTTAGGCGCGTGGGGGTAAAATTTTTACAGAACGTCACGCAGGTATGCAACGGAAGTGACATCGAACTACTATTGAAATTAAGTACTCGTCAAATGTCAGTAGTGGTAGTTGTTGTATTTTTCCAAGTGGAAAGGCAAATGTATCATACCATACAGCCTAAAATTTTATATTTTTTTTGTGAAAAATGTTAATAGGAATTGAAATGAAATGAAAAGAATTTGGAACATTAATCAAATAGCATGAAATTAAATTAGTCAATTCATTTGGCAAAATATTAGTCATTTACAATTTAGAAATCTGAACATAATGTGACTGTCATCACTGAGGTTTGAGATTGACATTTGACAGACTTTTGGCGGGAACATATCTTCCTTTTTCCCTTCCTCTAAGTCTCGGAGTCTTTTAGATTTGTATAAATATAAACAAGACTTGTAAATTAGTTCGCCAAAAAAGTTTCACTTCTGACATGTGTACTTTGTACGCCCGCACTTTTTTTTTTTTTTGAAAACACCCAATTTTTAATGTACATGCATTTTTTTTAACAGTACGTAATATTTTAACGATTTGTAATTTGATTTTCAATAATAGACGTTAAATCTGTATATTGTAGGTGTTGATAAATCTATAACGCATATTTAAGCTGATAACTTCATTAAAATAATTTACTAAAATCCAGCCAATCTATACGTTTTAGAAGAAAACCAAAATTCGTGTCACTCATCTAAATTCACCAGAGCGCTTTTATAAGACTATTTTACATGACAATGCTCTATTTCGACCGTGAAAAGTGCGCGGCAGAAGTTAAATTTTCGATTTGATTAATAAAATAATTCAATACTGGGCGGTATAGTGTTGTCCACCGACATCTGATGGGTCCGCCAATGGCGCTTTCAGTAACAGTGTTCACGCATAGTTCTCGAAAACGATAACAATATTATAGCCTTTGTAAAATTGAATTCAATCTAAAAGTACTGGTGGTAGGATGTCTTGCGGGTCCGCACGGGTAGCTACCACCACCCTATTCCTGCCGTGAAGCAGTAATGTGTTTCGGTTTGAATTGCAGCCGTCGTACTGTTAAAAGTGAGACCTTACAACTTGTCTCAAGGTGGGTGGCGGCATTTACGTTGTAGATGTCTATGGGCTCCGGTAACCACTAAACATCAGGTGGGCCGTGAGCTCACATCTACAACGTAGACGCGCCACCCACCTTGAGATACAAGTTCTAAAGTCTCAGTACAGTTACAACGGCTGCCCCACCCTTCAAACCGAAATGCATTACTACTTCACGGCAGAAATAGGCAGGGCGGTGGTACCTATCCGCGCGGACTCACAAGACGTCCTACCACCAGTAAAAGAGTAAGTTTTAGATTTTAAGGTAAGTTTTAGGAATATTGTCAAGAACACATTACCACTCTTACTGAAAGCCGTTTTAACATCTATTCTTCAGCTCTCTCTCTCTTTCTCTCGCTTTCATCTCTAATTCCTCTTCTTCCTTTGTCAGCGGCACGGTGCTGTGGTTGTAGAGACCCTGGACCATGAGCTGCAGCGCCAGCGGGTTCCTCTGGCCCGACGCCTTCTTGATCTTGGCCCGTTTGTTCTGGAACCAGATCTTGATCTGCGCCTCGGCGAGGCCCAGCTCCGCTGCGAGGCTCTGCCGCCGCCGCTCTGTCAGATACCGGTTCTCTGCGAACTCGTGCTGAGGACAAAGTACCTTTTTTTATGATGCGTCAAAGGTTTTGTTTTATTGCCCTTGTAGGCAGACGAGCATATGGCCCACCTGATGGTGCGTGGTTACCGTCGCCCATGGACTTCAGCAATGCCAGGGGCAGAGCCAAGCCGCTGCCTACTGCTCAATACCCTCCACAAGCCTCGTTTGAAGTAGGATATGTCATAGCCTTGAGATATAAGTTCTAAGATCTCAGTATTGTTACAACGGCTGCCCCACCCTTCAAACCGAAACGGATTACTGCTTCACGGCAGAAATAGGCAGGGTGGTGGTACCTACCCGCGCGGACTTACAAGAGGTCCTACCCCCCGTAAAAAAGGTAGGTAATGTGCGACTGAAATAACGCTCTACGAAGCAAATATTAACCGTCTCTTTCCCGCGGTCGATGTGCAATATTTATCGCCGGGTACTATACATACCTTTAGCCTCGCGAGTTGTGGCCCGGAGAATGCGGTCCTTGGTCTCTTCTCGTCATTGCTGGCGGTGTCTCCGGGCGGCTTCTTCGGTCGTCTGGTGCGAGGACCTGTCCACAGAGATACCGTTATAGCCATCAACCTTAAGTCCAGTGTCGGTGTTAAAAATAAAGAAGGTTAGATAGGTTGAAGGTTTGATATTGTGTTTATCAATTTTTATTACATTATTTCTGAAGTTTTGTTATACAATAGTTATACAAATTTTATGGTCGCTGATAACTAGTGTGTGGTTCGACGACATTTGAGTATTGTGATAATTACCATCAAATCACTACATAGTATAAAACAAAGTCGCTTTCTCTGTCCCTATATCTGTCTGTCCCTATGTGTGCTTAAATCTTTAAAACTACGCAATGGATTTTGATGCGGTTTTTTTTAATAGATAGAGTGATTGAAAAGGAAGGTTCATATGTATAATAACATCCATTAAATAGTGGAGAAATCAATAATAAATTACAGTTTCCGAAGCGAAGCGAAGGCGGGTCGCTAATATTATAGGTATATATTACCGCAACTTCAGCGGATAGATGAGATAAAATATTTTTTGTATTAAGTGTGGTTACTTTATTTTTAAAGGTTTATTGCACAATATTTGATTTTAAGCTCTAAGATAAGTACGTGCTGTGCATTCCCACCAGCTAACCTTCGTTCTATCTAATTTCATACTTGCATTTCACACTCCGCAATGTATCACTAGCCGTCAATGTAACGCAATATTTAGTTTTTAGTAATGTGTTTTGTTTACATTGGTGCGTCGTAACCGATTTTATTTCTAAGAAGTATTCCGGCATAAAAGTGTTAAGAAAATACGAAGCTATCATAGATAATACGCTTAAATTAGCTATAGGTAAGCAACTCAAGCGTTCAATAAAAATGCTTACGGGCGTCGGCCAGAAGATGGCAGTAACATATCGTAACTATCCTATTTTATATTTTTAATGAAGGATTTTGTAAATTTTTAGAAATCACAAAATGATAAAATTTAATCAATTTGTCTATAACAAATAAAGACTTGTATAATTTTGTTTCTGTGTTTAGTTGTACCATAATAATTAAATGCCTTAACTTTAACAAAATATAAGTTTAGGGGCATCCGCTACAAGATGTCGCTAGTTGCTATACAGAAAAATATTTGTCTTAAAGGATCGCAGTTTCAAAGTCCTGGAAGCTACAGTAGTTTCAAGAAAAATCAAATATTTGTCGTCTGTAAAGTCGGTTTAGGGACGATAGTTTTACGTGATGACGTCAGTAGTGGAACTATTCGGACTGCTAGCTCTGACGTCACGCGAGAAGAGAGATAAATGTGTCACAAGACAACGCTTGGTTGGGCCGATCGTGCGTCTCTATCGCTTGTTCCGCGCTCTCGCTTGCACGCTAATGCTCAGGCGGAACGTGACACTTTTTCGTGCGTGCAGCCGGTGTTCATCGTATGAATATATTTAAAAGATTCTTAATATATATATATTTTTTTTTTTATTGCTTAGATGTGTGGACGAGCTCACAGCCCACCTGATGTTAAGTGGTTACTGGAGCCCATAGACATCTACAACGTAAATGCGCCACACACCTTGAGATATAGTTCTAAGGTCTCAGTATAGTCACAACGGCTGCACCACCCTTCAAACCGAAACGCATTACTGCTTCACGGCAGAAATAGGCGGGGCGGTGGTACCTACCCGTGCGGACTCACAAGAGGTCCTACCACCAGTAATTACGCAAATTATAATTTTGCGGGTTTCATTTTTATTACACGATGTTATTCCTTCACCGTGGAAGTCAATCGTGAACATTTATATATTTCATTAAATTGAATTTTCAGTTAATACGCAGTTAATATGTTTTTCAATGTAAGTGATTTTGTGAGCATCTTTTATTAATACTAGTGGTCCCGCAGTAGTCGAAATTCGACTATAATTAATTGAAATTATAAGTTTGAACATCATTAAGGTTCTATTGTCAAAGACTAATAATACTTCTATAATCACAGATTTCACCAAAACTACACTATAGATAAATAATATTAAAGATAAAAAATATTAACCTATTCTCAATTTGACCACAGACTTTAAGCAATAACAAAGTTTGGTAATAAACAAATAGTATGCATGCGTGTGTGTGTCAAATACATGATAGTGTGTGTAATGTTTTCTTTGTTGATTTAAGGTATTGTTTATGCATAATTAAAAAACAATATTAACATTCTGCACTCATTCTCTGTATTCTCTATAAGTGTGGGAAATTTCATACTCCTCCGTCCGCGCAATTTTCGTAAAAAGGGGTACAAAGTTTTAACTTCACGTATTAATATATTATATAGATTTAAAATTACTTTTACGGTTTAGTTACGGGTTTTTTATTGTTCCAAATATCATTTGGATATCATCAGTTTTTTTGGTTGCAAATGACGATATTACTAAGTTTTTTTTTTGGACAACAAAGCCTAATATTTCATTAAAAACTAAAACGGAATTTTATTTGATAAAACTTAAAACAAATATAATTCACTTCACACTTGCTCTGAATAATCATACTTATCCGAGTCCGCTAAGGAAGCTTACAATCATACGAGCGTAAATTTAAAGGACTAAGAACTTTATTAAAATTCAGCCTAAAATAAAATCAACAACAACATGCTCATGATATTAAAGTAACTTAGGGATTAACAGGATCTAATACTATGAAGTCGTCGCGGTCTAAAGGATAAGACGGCCGGTGAATTCCTATCAAGCGATGCGATTGTACCAGGGTTCGAATCCCGCTGATAGGTAACAATTTTTCTAATCAAATATGTAAATTAAATTTGTTCACAAACATCTTCCACGGCGAAGGAACATAATTATATAATAAAAATAGAATTCGCAAAAATTTAAATTTGCGTAATTACTTGTGGTAGGATGACTTATAAGTCCGCACTGGTAGGTACCACCACTTATTGCCTCTTTCTTCGTGAAGTTTTTTTTTGTTTTTTATTTCTTAGATGGGTGGACGAGCTCATAGTTCACCTGGTGTTAAGTGGTTACCGGAGCCCATAGACATCTACAACGTAAATGCGCCTCCCACCTTGAGATATAAGTTCTAAAGTCTAGTTACAACGGCTACCCCACCCTTCAAGCCGAAACGCATTGCTGCTTCACGGCAGAAATAGGCAGTGCGGTGGTACCCACCCGTGCGGGCTCACAAGAGGTCCTACCACCAGTAAGTAATGCCTTTTGCATAATAGTCTGGGATTTATCGTACTGATTCAGAGTAAATTTCTCCGGTTCCATTTATACGTGGCCATGCTTATCCAATATAAATTTAATACTACCAAATTATAATTAACATTAGAATAGCTTTGACTTATTAATACGCTTTTATTAGCTTCAGACGTATGTATGTTAGTATGTAACGGAATCTTTGAATATGATTTTGACCCCCTTCAAAATGTCGGATTAACTCGAAATTTGGTATACTTATTAAGAACCAATGATAATTCAATATTTAAAAAAAAATGAAAAATATTGAAATTCAACTAAAAAATGAAAAATAAATAATAGTTTAAAAAAACTAACAAAATACGCTTTTATAGAAAATCCAACAAAAAAATTGAAAATAAATTTTAATAAATTTGAATTAAATATTAGTGTAAGAAAAAAATTATTTATTGTAAAAAAGCATGGGGTGCTTTTCAGGATATTATCAAAAGAGCCCTTCTATTCATATCTGTTCATAAAACATTTATAACTACTTATACCATGCACCCCACGCTTTTTTTTTTGTGTTTTTATTAAACTAGTTATTATTTATTTTATCTAAGACACGCAACTACGTCATTCTCAGGTTTGGCAATCAAAATGATGAGCTAAACAAATACATTCGCATGCAACATTCGACAACACAGCACACTAAAACAATTAAAACAATTAGTAGTATACACAAACACACACAAAAAACAACACACAAAATCCAATTGGCACAGCGAATGGAAAGCGAGCTCACGGCGACCATCCCGGATCGAGCAAACGATGCAATATCTTAACCAATTCACCTTGAGTCAACAATCAGACCGACATATAAAATTGGTCAAAATATTTCACCGGTCGCCCGACGGGTGGGTGGGTGTCTTCGGATTCTTCAGCAGTTCAGGGGAGCTGGGCCAAAGCGGTGCTTGCGATGGAGACGCCTGGGACGGTAGCTGGTAAAAAACACTTACCGTCTGACATAGAGAGACTTAGCTACATTATTTCAGACAGACCAGACCACACTACTCTCGACACTCCAGTTCAAGATGCTCTACACTTGGCGGTAGATAGGAGCAAATGGCGTGGATTGCTCCGGAAGAAACTCTTGTTGCGGGTAGGTCATTACTGGTGGTAGGACCTCAGGACCTCTTGTGAGTCCGCGCGGGTAAGGGTTGAAGGGAGGGGGGGCAGCCGTTGTAACTATATTTGAGACCATAGAACTTATAGATAACGTAAATGCGCCACCCACCTTGAGATCAAGGTGGGTGGCGCATTTACGTTGTAGATATCTATGGGCTCCAGTAACCACTTAACACCAAATGGGCTGTGAGCTCGTCCACCCATCTAAGCAATAAAAAAAAAGGTGGTCACGCCCCTAAGTATTGAGGAAACCGAAGCGAAAAGAAGCTACTTTATTTATTTGATTAGATGTCTGAACGAAGTTTCTACCCTGGTTAATAACCAGAGTCTGTAGACATCATGGCTTCTATGTCACAATTTCATAGGAAGGACCTCTTGTGAATCCGCACGGGTAGGTGCCACCAGCCTACCTATTTCTGCTGTGAAGGAGTCATGCGTTTCTGTTTGAAGGGTGGAGCAGCCGTTGTAACTACTTAGTCTGGCCATAAATACTGTTACAAAAAAAAACAAAAAAAAATCTAAGGCAAATAACATTTATTCCTTTTACAGTGTGTTAGTTTAATACATAAATATAAAACAATTTAAAGTATAAAAAGCTTATTCGAAGTGGTCTCCATTGGCTGCAATACAGTCCTTTAAACGTTGAGGCCAGTTATCAATAGAAGCACGCACTCTTTCCATGGGAAAAA